TGAATTGAAAAATTTTAAAATTACCCAACAAAAAAAATGGAAACTTGAATGTACAGAGAAATATTCAAGAAGTAGAGAAATTTTTGAACCATAGTCAATGAAACTGAAAATCTTTAAAAATGGGTAAGCATAAATCTCAATTTTTATTTAGTGAAGAGTAGATGGAAGGTTTGAGGCAAAAATTACGTAATCTTCAAATTTTTTTCATTTCCATTAGTTATGATTAAAAAATTTCTCAATTTCTTAATTATTTTCCTGTACATTCAAGTTTCTTTTCTCTACTTAATTTTAAAATTTTTTAAATTCACAATAAATTATGACTGATTTATAATTTTTAAAAAAAATTGGGACTATGATTGCAATTAATTATTTATTTTTTCTTTTTTTCTTTTCTTTTTGTTTCACTTCAATGGAGGGTAAAATCGTCAAAAGGACCTTCTGTGCAAAGAAATGTGGAAGGTAGGGGCAAAAATGTCAAAAAATGAAAAGTATGGATGTTTTCGACAATAAATTTGAAAATTAAGGACGTTTTGTGCCAATTACCCAAATTGAATTGTCCATACTTAATACATGACTTTTGAATTTTTCCCCATAACCAAACCTAAGTACAATTGGGCCAAAGTCACACGGGCCATTCAAAAGTGAATTGGGCCATGAGCAACTTTAATTAATTAAGTTGTTTCTAGGTCAAGCAAATCACTATGGTGTCGATAAAATTAACCCCAACAACATTTTAACATCATGCGTCTGAATTTATTGGGTATCTGTATCAAAACCCTACAGTATAGAAATCCATATTTTAAATATTAGTGGAGTTGTATAGAATAATAGAACTGTGTAATTCCAGACTTTTGTATGAGATTTTCCTTCACAAAAATGCAGAAATTACTTTGATCTCTCTCGCTTCATCTTCTATGGAAATTAGGGAAAGCTTAGTTATCTGAAAACTTCTCTTAGTATTTCTCGAAATGCTCTATAATATTCTTGTTTTAATCGGCCATGTCAATATATTTTCGAACTATATTTCGACGTGAAGTTCACCTAATGCTTTCATATTATTTTCAGTTTTTACTAAATAATGTTAATGGTAAGACATTTTCCTTAATTTTATATTCTAAAATACAAAATGTGGAATTTAAGCTGTCATTTTTAAGTAAACAAAGAAAATACAACCACACTTCTATAATGCTAACAAAATACTTAACCCCATTTTGGTACAAATTCTTTAATTTTTTTTTTTAAAATTCATTTTCAATCACATTCTTCCAATTAATAATTTTGCACGTGCACCATAACTTTTTCGTACTTTTCTAATCACACATTTTTCGAAAAATCACTTTTCACAAAAATTGTTCTCAAAAATCTACATCAAACATGCCATTAATATGTAATTAACAGAAAAATCAATTAGCGGCATCTTGAACAAGCCAAAAGCCATGAACTCTAGCTTGACGGATTTGAAGAGTGCTGGGGTTGGAGTAATGGTCGATGCATGGTGGGGATTGGTCGAGAAAGATGGACCTTTGAACTACAACTGGGAAGGGTATGCTGAGCTTGTAAACATGGTCAAGAAACACGGCTTGAAGCTTCAACTTGACATGTCTTTCCATCACTGTGGAGGAAATGTTGGAGACTCGTGCAGGTAAGCAACAATCCACCCCCACCCCACCCTACCCATACTCCCTCCTTTATATTTGTCCATGTAGCCTCCCATAAACCATCCATAAAATCCTGTCCTACTGATTAGCTAGTTCATGCACCAAACAGGTGACTATTTGTGAACTTCATTGAATAACCTTGTTCTGCTTTCATCTTCCAACTTTTCTCTCGCGTCCTACAGCAGTTTCATGGTGTTCCCAGTGTTACATTTGTTACATGACACATTTTGTACACTATACAGTACAGAATTTTAGCTTTTCTCCTAATATCATCTAATCTAGTGTCGTATGAACCGTCTTAACAAATAAGGCACAAAGTTCCATATTAGTCCCCCGATCTATTCTCCGAAGAGGAAGTTAGTCCCCAACTTTCATAAATGAGCAAGTTGAAGCCGTCCATATACCACTAAAAGTCACATCACCTTTACATTTTCATATTTATAAAGCTAGATTTTGTCACCCAACATAAGTCGATGCCTAGAAATTTGAAGTTAGACATGTTCCCACAGGGATCACATGATGATTTTTAACGAGATGAATTAAAGGTTGAAGACCAACTTGCTCCCTTTCAAATGTTGGGATCCAACTTGATACTTGGGCCATTAGTTGAGGACCAATGCTGCAATTCTCCACGTTGTCATATATTCTTAAAATAGTAAAAATGGTTAGGAGAGATCAATTAAAACTTCGGTACCTTTCTGATAATAGTAATCCAGTAGTGATAGATATGATCATCAATATTGGTTTTTCCATTTGCAGCATTCCTCTGCCTCCATGGGTGCTTGAAGAGATCAGCAAAAATCCCGACCTTGTCTACACAGATAGATCAGGTCGCTACAACACAGAATATATATAATTGGGCTGCGACTCGTTGCTGTTCTCAGAGGAGGAACACCAATTCAGGCCTATTCAGACTATATGAAGTTTCAGAGAAAGGTTCAAGGATTATGTGGGAAAGGTTATAGCGGTAAGGCTCTAACAATCCTCACAAATCCTAATGTTCATCTTAAACATTTATAGAAACGTCTATTGCAGTAAAGTTTTCTTCATATTGCTTCATTCACTGTAGAAAATGTTTGGTTCCCAAGCATTCACTATATGCATCAAACGGCCAACACAGAAAAAAGAAACTAACTTTCCGGGCATGTTTGGTCCACGACTAGATTATTGTCCACTACTATTCAATCCACCTTTACCACACAAGTCATGATAACGATTAAGGGAATAAAGAGCCAATATCTCTTTTCTTCATGTTTCACTCAAAGATATAAAAATGATAAACAAGAACTCAAGATCAAAGGCTCAGACAAAAAAATCAAGTCTTTAATAGCTTTGAAATAAACCAATTTTCCGTCGGCAATACAAAAAATTAGTCCAATTTATTCAGGAAGACTTACTGATGTTATTTGTTATGAAAATTACAGTCCCTTTTCAATTTAGCAAGACAAGCAAAAGCTTGAGAAAATTAGCATAGTATAGAGACAAGGGAAAATTAAAACCAGAGAGCGAAAAAAAGTATCGATAAAATAATTAATCAAAATTATGTGAGCATCCCAAGTTACCTAATAGTTACTATCAACACAGTGGACAAATTTAAGTTCATGTCAAGGACCCACATTGTTCTTCATTTCATTTTGTAACCTACAAATGAACAACAAACAATTCTCTAGAAACTCAAATTTGCTTTCTCTTAATGCAGGAGAGTCAAGTGGGGATGGGACCTTGTGGAGAGTTAAGATATCCATCCTATCCAGAAAGCAACGGAACTTGGAGGTTTCCAGGAATTGGTGAATTCCAGTGTTGCTACAAGGTAATTAATGTAATATGTAAATTACAATTTAAAGTAGATGCTTTTTGTGTGCATCTTCCCTAAGAATAAGTCCAGCCTAGCCGACTCAATAAAAAAATAGAGAATAGGTCCAAGAGCTTAACACCTTACGTTAAAAACAAGAATCAAACAAGATATCGATCGTATGATATGTGTATATATATGCCTTCACTTTTTTCTATGGTATGTGTATATATATGCCTATATGATGAAAAACTTAAATTTATACAATTTCTATGGTATGTGTATTTATACCTTTACTTTTTTCTGGGTAAATATCCTTACCAAGGGTTAAAAATCTATAGCATTTCTATGTAAAACAGTACGAGGGCTTCACTGCCAGTGACAGCAGAGGCAATAGAGAAGGATGAATGTGGACGAGGAGGGCCATTCGATGAGGGACAATACAATCAATTCCCAGAAGAAACTGGCTTTTTCCAAAGGGACGGTTCATAAAACAATGACTACGGAATTTTTTTCTTAGAATGGTATTCTGGAAAGCTACTTGATCATGGAGAGAAAATCCTGGGAGCTGCTAAGGGAATATTCCAAGGAAGTGAAGCTAAACTATCTGGGAAAGTTGCTGGAATTCATTGGCACTATAGCACAAGATCACATGCAGCCGAATTAACAGCAGGGTATTACAATACTAGCCACCATGATGGTTACCTACCAATAGCTCGAATGTTGGGTAAACACGGAGTCGTATTCAAATTTACCTGCATGGAAATGAGAGATGGAGAACAACTAGAGCATGCAAAGTGCTAGCCAGAAGGCCTAGTTCAGCAAGTTAAGACGGCAACAAGAACTGTTGGAACAGAACTTGCTGGAGAAAATGCACTGGAGAGGTATGATTTAGGAGTATACTCACAAGTTTTGGCAACTTGTAGATCGGATTCTGGATATGGACTGAGTGCATTTACATATTTAAGGATGAATAAGCGGTTGTTTGCAGCGGAGAATTGGAGGAATCTGGTTGAATTTGTAAACAGCATGTCAGAAGGTAGAAACAAGAGACTTCCAGATATCGACTCAAGCAGGACAGACCTGTATATCGGATTTATCAAAGAAAAGAATGTAAAGAAGATAAACAAGGTTGCCCTAGTGTAAAGATATACACGCATCAATGCGAAGACGAGTGCTCTATTCTTCGAGCTGACATGTAACTCTTTATAAAAGTAGGACATAAACATTTGGAAACATGTCTACTAAAGTTATACATTTTTGTTTTAATAATAATTTATGTTTACTCTTTCTAGCTTTTATTTTGAATTTTGGAGGTCAAATCTTCCGGACATGAGTGACTATTTGTTGTACTTTGTATCACCAGTGGAAACAAAATAAATATACATGTTTAGCGAAAATTGCATATAGTATGACTTGAAGTCAGCCTTCCCATTGAGTTCGACTTGAACCTCCCTGAATTTCAAAATGGTATAACACTTCTGATACTGCTTCTCCATTTCAAACGTTGTTGTACACGGTACCATTTGTGAGTATGACTTGAAGTCAGCCTAAAACTCCTTCTCAACTTTATTCCTAAGTGCTCGTTCATATTGCTCGACGAACTGTTTTAAAGAGGTCTTCGAATGAACATACCCGTCAAAGAAGGCATGCATACTCTCACTACGCTGAGTTGTTGACATTCCTGCCCAAAATGTGGTCTTCAGCTAGCAGGAAGGAACCCATCGACCTCTATTTTCAAACAGTTCCGATAACCAATCATTACTATGCAAGTCATATGTGTCCGCATCACTCTCCAACCTTCTTCGAATTCTTCAACACACTGTGAATCATACACCAAGCCATGTATGCTCGAAAAAATCGAAGCCTTATTACTGTGGTATCCAAATTTTTCTGGCAATTTCTTCAAAATATGCCACAAACACCATCGATGTTTTGTATCCGAAAAAACAATCTCAATCGCGTTTTGCATAGCCCTATCTTGATCAGTAATGATTCCTTGGGGAGCTTTTCCATACATACACTGAGGCCACGTCCTAAATAGCCACACAAAAGTATCCGTGTCCTCATTCGACAATAAACCACAACCGAGTAGTGTTGATTGTCCGTAATAATTAATGCCAACAAAAGGGGCAAAAGGCATATCGTACTTGTTAGTTAAGTAAGTGGTGTCAAATGTGACAACGTCGCCGAATTCTTTGTATGCTTCCCAACACCTATTATCTGCCCAAAATACATTTCTCAAACGAGACTCATTGTCCAAATCTATGCTGAAGTAGAATCCCGAGCATTGGGCTTGCATCCTGGAAAAGTAGGAGTATATTGCTGCAGCATCTCCTTCCCCAAGCCTTAATCGTCTCACTTGTTCAACATAATTTCTACAATCATTTTCCACGCAAGTGATATTTTCATATACACCCGCTTTAACAACTACGGAGTTGTAGCTTTTATGCAATGGAATTCCTGTCATATCATTTACTTCAAGCTTCCGTTTCACATGTGAACTCAACTCCCGATTACAGCGATACAACCTCGACTTCGAAGGACTTGTTTTATGATTGTGGTCGAGGTGGACTTTATTAATTCTCCAGATCCCATGATAATCTGGACATGCAGTGATCCTGGCTTTACAATTTGTCTGAATTGTTGGTTGGGGCTTCAAAGAACCGCTCGTACTAGTTGTTCTTCGGTCTTCACGACTACATGTGAAGGTGACATATTTCATTTTCCCATCATTCCCTTTTTTCGAATTCCTTCTTCTAACTGGAAACCCAACATAATACACATATCCTTTATAAAAGTCCCACAATTCTTTTTCTTCATTGAAGGTCATTCCCACCTCCGGCACCATCGGATCATTTTCTGCTAACGTTTGCTCCTCTAATGATATTACATTGTCCGCAACATTCTCATCAGCAATGTCTTTCATATTTGCTCCTATTGTAACACAATGAGTGACAATGTTCAGTATATCTCTTCCTTCATATATAGGCAATTTATAGAAACAGAGAATTCTCATATTCAACTATAAAAACGACACTGTAATTTTCAAGAAATATCAAGGTATTGACACTATAAAAAGGACACTAACATCTCAAACAACCAACATTTACGAATGTTTCGATTTCGCACTGTGCATTTTCATCAAATTTCTGAGAAACCAAAATTGGACCAAGATGCTCACGTTTCTACCCAATATGGTACATAATAATCAAATGGGTTGAAAAGAGTCAACGAAATATGTAGTCGAAAATTTGTGTATCCCATAAAATGTGTGATTAAAATTATTTTTTTCTTTTAAAGTATATTTTAATCACTTTTATAGCTGAAGCAATATTTAAAAATTACTTATGAAAATCACGTACAAAAAGAGTTCATGTAGATGTAATATTAACAAATGAAAGCAAATCAAATTACAAATGTGACGGTAAAGGTTGTCATTTTGGTTCAGAAATTCGAAATTAATAATTTTCAAAACTTTATCATCGTTTGGTTTATTCCTCGAAAGCTATAGATTTGAGTCTAACCAATTTTACATTCGTACGAATTTCAACAAATTTCTGAGAATCCAAAATCCATCTGAAACATAATGACATTACCTGAGCTTGGCTCCACCAGGTTTTCTGGTGTCGGGGAATTGCAGATTCGGCCACTGCGGAGTTGGGCATCACCATCTTCACAGTTGGGGAGCAATGGCTTCGATTTGGAGGGAAGGCTTTGCGAAGGACAATGATGGGTTGGGAAAGACTTGCAAAGGGCAATGACGGGTCGGGAGATTTCGCCTTCACCAGATGTGAGATTCACGACCACACTAAGAGTGAAATCGACGAGGAAAAGAAGGCGAGATTTTCGTTTTGGTGTTCAACGCCCTACCCAGGAGCTTCAATTTTGCTGGGTTCAAGATTTTCATTTGCCTTATTAGATAAGTCAAACTGACCAGCTGCTCCCTCACGTGAAATGCACATGATTTCTAAAAATTTTAAATTTCTGTGGATTTTCTGTGACCCAATTATGTACATAAGGCATTTCAACACAAAGATCCAAAAAAATTTTCTCATATTATGTTGATTTTTTACCAAATAGTTAAATATTTTCCTAGGTTTATATTGCAAAATTTATAAAATAGTGTTTGCAATGTCCCTGACATGTTGAGTACATGTACCATACATGTAAGAAATGAAATGACAGGAGTGAGGTTATCTTACGCATTGCTGGCAGTCGTAACGTGGGGGTTCGATTCCTGAGACATGGAATTGGACTCCTTGTAGGCGCAGTGTACAGGCAGCTCTTATTCCTCGGTCTGTTAGGGCACATCCCGTAATTTACCTCCCTCACAAAGCTCTAGAGGCGGGAGAGGACGGGACGGTGGAGGCCCTCAAGGTTGGGGTTCAACCTTTTAAGAAATGAAAAGACAAAAAATATAGGACACGCTGGCACATGCCTCAGAACATCCAAGAGATTTAAAAATTGGGTAAAGCCATTAATACATTCAATTATTACATTATTGTTGACATTTGCTGTGTTGTCAACAAATAATTGGTTGAAAAAACAGTTTTCATTTTAAATTGTCTAATTGAATAATGTCACGTGACAAAGTGTAAGCGCCGTTCCAAGGCTTTTGCCACCCTTCAGGCATTATTTCACAGCATGATGTACACCAAACATGATTGTTAAAATTTAATCTGAATGATTTATTACATGCATATAGGAGTAAAATTCTATTGATACAAGGAACGAAAAGGAAACAATATAAATTCCTGTTAGTAAAAGATTTTCTAGCTCAACTGGGACATAAACTAGATGAAAGTATTTTCATAATTCATATTCTGAATTGTGTATTCCAACTTGCTACTCAAGTTGGTGCATCAAAACATGCCCAACTTGGATGGCGATGTATAGAAAGACCCACTATTTGAGAATCCTTGCTCGATCCTGATAGCAACTTCAAGTAGTAAAAGTCTCCCCTATCAGTTCCAATTGTCATCTTGGTTAGATTGTCTTATATAAGGTGTTATTTGAGATACATGAGTAGCAGAAGATGGAGAGGCATCAGTGATAGCAGTCTTGCTATCTGAGCAGATTTTTCTTCTTTTTTCAGCTTGCTTAATTTTTAATCACTCTAGATAACCATTTAGTTTCCAGCAAATATCAACCGTGTGTAGTGTCGTGATAACGGGTGTGGGCCCCGATAGATGGGGCTAAAGTAGCTAATCCTGAGTTATTCTTCTGAATAACTAAAGTCCAAGCCTTAGAGACGACATGTGTACCCATAGTAACTTACATTTGTACTTCATGATAGATTAGTACATAGGTCTCTTCCAGACTTGGGAGAGGAGATGTAGCCAAGACACAACTACTAACTTAATTCGAACAGTGTTCAAGAACTGCAAGAAACGTATATACTCAATCGTCATCAATATACTTTCTGCATTTCACAATATCGGTAGTACAAGTCTATCATTTGGCCACTATAATCAAGTTCCATAAATATGGAGTTAAGTTCATTGTAGTATTCAGAAAGAGGCAGACCATCTTGACTTCTTCATCAATTCATATAGTTGTGAAGAGCAACTGTATCACAAACTTCTTTAGCCGTGCCACTAAACAAAATGCAACATCATGTTGTTAGTCATGGAATTTATTAGCTAAGACTTGACTAAAGCGTCTTCAGCCTCCCATTCATCATAACTCGAAAGCAATGCAACCTTCCTTCCTAAGAGATAGCCTTTTTACTTGCAAACTGCAATATGCATCTCCAGAATTTTTTATGATACACAGTAATTAGCCCACCCAATTTAAATGAACAAGAGATGTAGTGTCCTGAATAGTCAGAGAAGAAGAAATATTCTTGTCATAAAGGGTTTTATAATCTTTATTATACATATCAATTAAACGAACCGAAGAATGTCAACTGAAGACGATCATCAATCTGCCGACCTCTAGGGCTTACCAGATGACTGGGTCAACCAAGATCAGAAGTTGAGCAACTCAGTAAAAGGTAACCAAAAGGGTATTCGACTGTAGTAAGGATAATAGAAATGGTCACACTAAGGCCATGTTTGGTGTGGTTTTCTTTTAAATATTATCAGATTTTGATAGATTTACTGGGTCGCTTTTCTAATATAAAATTCCATGCCTACAAAATGACTGTTTGAGTCAGGATAGGAGGGTACATGCTTGTTTCCATATTTCCTATTCCAACTTTTCTATTCCAGCTGAGAGTGTCCATTATGTGTCAGACATGCTGCACGATGCCCTAGGAGGATGGTTGTGCTTCGCAAGCTCTATCAGTGAGTGAACAAAAAGTCAAAACCAAAATACAGGCACAAAGAAGAAAGTTGAAAAAGAATATATGTTTTAAAAATTCATTGATTCACTTTAACAAAGTCAAGACATTGAATTCGTAAAATTAACATTTTTCATATCCAATAAAAAGAGAGCCAATTTGCAGCTATTCAAATCTCTTCCCAGGATGTTAATGCATCGTTATTTTCAAATTTTCACCAGGAGGTTAGTGCATCATTATTCACAACTAATTGTTAATGACTCTATAATGTGCTTTCCACTTCCATCTTGTTTCCTATTTTTTTTTCTTTCATAGCTTTCAGTGCAGTCTCATTATAAGATTTTCGGCCTTCAGTAAGACATACTGTTGCATTTTGGAGGTACTTGTAAATGATCTGATCAATGAACTCGACTTCTGGCAGAGAAGCAGACGTGAATATGGAAAAAGATGTATCTATAGTAGCTATGTTAAATGGATGCATCCAAGTATCCATTCTTTTCCAGAAACATGACTAGTTATATTACCCCGTATCGAGGTCATCTAATGTCTATTTCACATCAAGAGGAAAAAGCACGTGAATATACATATACAGCTTATGAGAGAGTTCGATATTTAAATGGCAGGTTAACATTCATGATAAACACTCGTGTACATTTTTCAATCTCTATTTAACTTCTTGGTAACATCAACAGAAACTGAAATAACTTAACAAGATAATGAATAATCCACTAACAGCATGAATAGTAAAGCTGCTACGCCATTTTAAGTGGCATAGTTTACAGATAGTGAGCATGTGCCACAGTCTTGCTGAAAATGGGAAAAAAAAGTAGCATCCATCAACCATTAGATTATTTTTCTACCCAGCAAATCACATAATATAGAATTAGCGTATTTAATTAACATGTAAACATTTAATTATTCTGATACAAAGCTAACGGAAGAAGACTATGTTTCCACTTTTCAGTGACCTTTACAGAGAGCACAGGACCGAGATGTTACTTATCTTAAGCTATGGTATTGGACAAGCTTCTTGTTTACCCCGGCTTACTAGATACTCCATTCTTGGCACGTGCAAACACTGATTCAGACTAAAAAACGTGATTTGAAATTCCAAAGTTGAGAATTGAAAATTAAACGGCAAAGCCTGAACCTGTGCAAAAGCTATTCAGAATCAGATAATTTAAGAATATTAGAAAGTTGTACGGAATTCACAATTCAAATTTGAGATATAAATTATTTCCCATCATAAGAGATTTTATTTAACTTTTAGTCTTCCTACAAACAAGATATCAAACCTTCGTGTTCACTTGCTGATTTTAAAAAATTCTAACCGATTAATGAATCTCTTTAGGCCATGTTTGGTTCATGGATGGGACAAAGAATGATAAAAAATCTAAGAATTCATAATCTAAGAGATGTTGTCATGGGCTTCTTAGTTCAATTAGCCTATGCTTAGGTTAACGAAGATAAATCATTTGAATAAAAATAGACATTTTCCATTTCGGAAGCCCTCTGACCACCATTCCTTAAACCTAAAAATCAAACAACCTCAACTCGACCACATTCACTCTTAATCTTGTATTCTAATTATTTAATATTCCCCAGTTATCAAAATCAAGAATGCATACAGTTCATTCTAAAAATATTTTTCTTTAATGGGAATTCTTAAAAGCATTTGGAACGCCTCTTGTAAGCTAAATCATTTTTTTTCCTTCCCAATTAGTACATAATAACAAAATTGATAATTTTTGTGATCAGATGTAAGTGTTCCTTCTATACCTTCATTTTAGGAATGTTGCGATGGAGAAGAAGACGAAGCAGGATCAGAATTAGCACGGCGGAGGCTCTCGATTAAATCACTGAGCTCCTTGCGTGCAGACTCCCTGCCGAACATGAATCCATAGCTGAAATCAAACAGTAGCTTATATCTTTACACATCACCAGAAATCAAAAAAATAAATAAATAACAGAAAATTCGGGAAAAAAATCAGATGAAATTGCACAATCGTCTTGAAAGGAAAAATTACCAGAAGGAGACAGACGAGAAGACGCCTGCGGTTGCTACTGTGTGTAGGAGAGTGAAGCTCTTCCGCATTTTTTCGATCATATATAATATGAGTAAATTTAACCATTAATCACTGAACTTTAGACTTGATTACTACTTGCTCAATCATCTTTCATATACTACTGAATGCTCATTCATCTTTTCAGATAATTACTCATTTACAACTTGTCTCTTCAAATAATTGGACGACTTTTATGACAAATTTTCGACAACTTCCGATTACAAAGAATGTCAAATTTTGATACCGTTGGAAAGCCCACGATGTCCTATTCAATTACCACCCAAAATCTCATTATAACTCCAAGGAATTCGATCGAAAAATTGTCTTAAAAGTTACCCAAAAATTCTGAAAATCTGCCCAAATTTTCAGATTTTTTGGACGACTTTTAAGATAATTTTTCGACAACTTTCGACCATCAAAACTATCGAATTTTGATACCATTAGAAAGCTCACAATGTCCTCTTCAATTACCATCCAAAATCTCCCCATAACTCCAAAGGATTCGGTCGGAATAAACCCACAAAATCAGCATCTTGAAAACGCGAAAATCTGGACAAAGTTCGGGATGCTGACTTTGTGGGTTTATTCCGACCGAATCATTTTGGAGTTATCGGGAAATTTTGGGTGGTAATTGAAGAGAACATTGTGGACTTTCCAATTGTATCAAAATTAGATAGTTTTGATGGCCGAAAGTTGCCGAAAAATTGCCTTAAAAGTCGCCCAAAAAATCTGAAAATCTGGGCAGATTTTCAGAATTTTTGGGCGACTTTTAAGGCAATTTTTCGATCGAATCCCTTGGAGTTATAATGAGATTTTGGGTGGTAATTGAAGAGGATATCGTGGGCTTTCCAACGGTATCAAAATTCGACATTCTTTGTGGTCGAAAGTTGTTGAAAATTTGCTATAAAAGTTGTCCAATTATTTGAAGAGACGAGTGGTAAATAAGTAATTATCTGAAAAGATGAGTGAGCATTCAGTAATCTGTAAAAGATGAGTGAGCAAATAGTAATCAAGTGTAAAGTTCAGTGATTATTGGTTAAATTTACTCTATATAATATACGCATGTGAATATATATAACCTTACCCATATCTTCATCCGCACTTTATATATATATATATATATTCACTTTTAAAAATTAAATTTTGTTATATGTTAAATCCTATGTAAATTTACTTAAATAAACATAAACAAAATTAAATAAAAATACATAACTCTAAGTTGATCCACAAGTTTTTATTTTAATTTGTGTTTAATTAGAATCCTAATAGATAGAGAAAAATACATGAATATAATTATAGGTGATGGTGCTCTAAATGTGATTTCTATACCGGGAATGATATCGGATTTCGAAAAATGCAAAACGGAATTTGATGCAATTTCATCAGTTAATCAAGAAAGAAGAATAATTGTAGCCAACAAAGTTAGTATAATTCAACTTGCTTAACCGAACTTTCTTCTTCTTTCTTTCTTTAGTCTTTGTTGTTTGAAGCATTCTAATACTTTGAACTTCAATAGACAAAGAATTTATTTCATGTTAATTTAATGTTCAATCAATTCAGCTTTATTCTAATTTCATTCATTGGTTTAAGAGTTTATGTTTTTAGTGATTTGACGAATTTATACTGATAGGAGTATATCTAAAGTGGGATGAATATATAAAATTCATATGGATATATAGTATTTAAATGAATGAATTTAATAAGGACAATATTGGAATGTAACGTGGATGTAAATAGTATTTTTTAAAATTTTATTAGGGATTAACTTAGAGTGGGATGTACTTATAAAAAATGTGAATGGAAATAACAATACCCAATATATAATCTTAAAAGTAAAACCCTGTCAAAGCAAAATTTGGGAGAATTATACTACTCAAGGAGATGCATTGTTACGATGGGAGTACATGAGTGCAGCGGCACCGTTGTGGATTATCGTTGATGTGTCAAAATGTGAAGCCAACCTGAAGTGGGGCCACAGGCGGATTCAGGATTTTCAGGGAGTTGAAACTTAAGAAAATCAATAATAAAATTTATATAGAATAAAATGGGAAACTTCTTTGTAAACTCGCATCCTTTATAACTAAAAAGTTAGAAACTTGGATTCGGTCTTAGTTCCATCTCTTATTCCATAATCTCATTAACTCCATAAAACAAAGTAGAGAATTTTGAAGCCAAGAATGTTGCCCAATGGGAATATTACAAACCAAGTATATGTTTATACACTTATTCGGGATTATATTTAGCTGCCTCTCTGGTGAAATATAGTCCAAATTGTTGTATTTTTTGTATTAAATAGGTAAAACTCAATGGTTGAGTAAGAAATTGGAGAAAAAAAGAAGAAAAAGAGTGAAATTCGAAAGACAGGGACCAAGTTGCAAATAATCCATAGATTAGACAAGCGGTGAAATGAAGATCGAAGATGTCAAAGCTTTAATTGGATGCGACTAGAAGATAAAGGAACAAGATTACAAGAGAAAATGACTGAAATGAAGCAAAATCAAAGTTTAAGGATTGAAGCGCAAATATTAAAAAGTTGCGTCTAACCTTACGATGAAGATTTGAGAGTGCTAGGGTCAATCGGACGAGGAAAGAAATCAAAGGGATGAAGTATAATCGAAGTATTATCATATTGAGACTTTCAGACGAAAAAGTTATGTTTCAGATTTTTAGTCTCTATTTGAGACCCATTTTTGGCATGGTAACCGTTCGAATTGAAAAAATTCTATCCGAAACAATTGTAGCCCTTTGAGTTAGCTTTTCAACAAACTTTGAATCGCCTCAATCGAATGTCGGGAAAGAAAGTTATGACAAAAATATTGAAGGTTGTCAGATCGAAAAAAAAAAAAAAAAAAACTTGAACTATACGATTGCATAGTACTATGCAGGACAAAAAAAATGGAGTTCAGCATTGAACTATGCGGTCGCATAGTGTAAAAATTTGGCCGAATCTCAAGTTTTCTTATACGATTAAAACTTAACTCGACAAGATTTTGGACAACATCTTTAACCGAGATATGAGCATAAATACCAGAATATCACATACACATTAGAGTGCCTCTTTTATGCAACAAAACACATCATAATCACATTGAAGAAGAGGAGCAAAAATCAAGTTTGTGAGGGAATTCAATCAAAGAATTGCAAAAAGATCATCAAGGAGATCTCATATCAAGAAATTTGCTCAAGAATTGGGAAGAGAAATCAAGAGAGATCAAGAATTCATTGTTCTCTTCAATTATTTGATTTCCGGGTGATGTTCATTAAACTTAGAATGATTTCTTATGATTTCAATATACTTTGATAGATTTTTACATTGTTAGGATGAGATGATTGTTATAAGATTTTTGGTATTAACTAATTATTTTGATGTTTAGTATGTATATTTTCTTGGATGTTTATTATTGTTTTCATTGACTTCTCAATTAATTAGCTACTAATTAAGATGATTTATTGGAATCCATTGTTGTCGAGGGAGATAATAGATTTTTAGCTAAAAATAATGAATATTGTAAGGTTTGATAAAGGATAGAGATATACATCTATACTTTACATAGTTTTCATAGATATTCTAGATCGTTTAATGCATTTATCATGTTCGTGTCTTTCATCCAAAGATATGAAGGTCACATGTGACTAGGTTGTGTGGGTTGTTGTAGTGCAATGTTGTCGAACTTAGGTCACAATCTGGTGCTGATTGGTGGGTAAGTTCTTTGCTACAGCACCCAAGCTCTTATTTTGCATCTTGCTTTGCGATGGTGAGATGGCAGTGCCAGTGGCGTGGTGATGATGTTGGCGTTGCTAGTGAGGTTGTGGTAGTGATGATGTTGGCGGTATTAGCATTGACATGGGGTGGCAGCAAAAGCGACAGTGGTGTGATTTATTGATGATTTTTTGTGGGTTGTTTTCAGATTCGATACGCTTTGATGGTGATGATGGTGGTTCTAGTGGTGGTGGTATAGGCAGTGGTTGTGGTTCTTGGTTTGAAAGAGTGGGGTTGTATAGCACAATTTGTGACCAATAAATTTGGTTAATGCATGACGAATAAATAATTTGTGACCATTGAAATAGATAAATTGTGACATTGATACAATTACCAGTGACCTGTGCACAATGACCCTATGACATGTGAGGTGTCACATGTATTTTTGCACTTGTTACAAATCACAGTCAAATAGAATTGGTCATAGATCACTAATTTATGTTCATAGTTTAATATTATTTAGTCACAAGTCATTTCAGAGGTCATAGGTCATATTGTATAGGTCACAAATATTCACATATTACATGTTATAGTTCATAGGTCAATATTAATTGGTCACATGTTATAGTTCACAAGTAACATATTATAATTCACAGGTGAAATTGTATAGGTCATATATGTTCACATATCACAGGTTATAGTTTATATGTCAATATTAAATGGTCAGAGGTTATATTTCAAAGGTCACAGATCAAAGGTCAAATTGTATAGGTCACAGATGTTCAGAGGTCGCTGATTATAGTTCACAAGTCAATATTAATTGATCACATGTTATAGTTCACAGATCACAGATCAACATCCATAGTAACAAATCAATATATACAAGTCACATGTTCAATGGAACTAATCATAGACCATTGGAACAATATCACAGAAAACAAATTAATGTAAATTCAAGAGAACTAGTCACATGTCATTGATTTCTCCGAACTATTCACAAATTCAATTAACTGGATTTCGACAATGAGAATTGAAGTTATTTGATCTTGTGAGTACTCTATAAGTTACATCAGGTGTTGTTTTTAAAATTTCAATTTAAAAAATAGATTTAAATTACACCAGTGCTACTCAATCGTTGCTGTAGAAGATGATCTATCGCAACGATGCTCAATCCATGCTATTTAACGGCCACTATGTTTCTTCCTTTCTCTCTACCATCTGAGTCAATGATACCCAATTTTCACTTAGCGACGATCAGATCGTTGTGGAAGAAGATGCTTCATCATTGATGATCACTGTAGATTCTATCTTTTTGTTGAAGAAATTATTTGGATGTCAGCTGGGGGATGT